AGCAAATATAATATGTTTCAATGTTAATGTTCCTTTGATGATATAATGACCGTACATTTGTGTCTTTTGTTTGTATACTACTGTTGAGTCACTTCAGTCAGACACTCAGCAAATATAATATGTTTCAATGTTAATGTTCCTTTGATCATATAATGACCGTACATTTGTGTCCCTGCTTTCACTGTGTCTGCGCGGCCCTGCAGTCAATTCTGGAGTGCCTTCGAGAAAAGGTAAGTACGCAAAACCCTCCGTCTGTTTTCCTCCCCCTCCTCCCCGTCACAGAATCTTTTGTTTCTGCTTTCATCACGAGTTGTTGGCTCTGCTTGGCTGTAGTTTCAGTGTTATGTTCTACGTAGTCCAATGTACGGTCTGTGCAAAAACGTGCCAGCTCCGTGTCAGACCACGGTTTGTGTTTAGGGCTGTAAGCTGTGAAGATTATTCTAAAGTTTTACATACGTAAAGGTTTCATGTATTGTAAAGCAGGCGGACGGGCACACCCCCTATTGAAGGGATGCTACCGCCTGTCAGGTTATGCTGGATGTTTCGTCTGGCAAACTTGTGCAGCCTTTTGTGTGTGTGATCACTGAATGTTCGTGTGTATTTTGTTTCAGTTTGTTTCGTTTACGTTCTATTAGCCAACGTAGCAATCCCTTCGTTGTCGTCTGTGATATGAAATATATCTCAGCACTTGATGCATGATTGCACAACGCCCCTAGCGGTCTCAGGTTTACTTGAATGTTTCGAATAGTATTTTTTTTTTACTAGCGACACTCTGCTTTTTTCTCTTCTTTTTCCCACTGTAGACTTTCAAATATTTTTCATTTGAAATAGCTTTCTTTAAAGTGCATGTATCATAATAGTAGAGACCTATAAACTAAAAATAAAATAAAAATTACTTTAGATTTTCCTATATTTAGTAAAATCATTATAGTTTTACTCAAATTCATATATATATTTTGTTGTAAACAAAATACTTAAAATACAAAATAATAATACTAAATGTTCAAATAAATACTGAAGTCAATGTTAAATCCTTTCTCAACGTATTAAACCTAAATATACGATGTAGATTTTTTACATTATCTTGAAATTTCTATAAACCTTAAGGTTTAATTTCGACTACTCGGAAGTATCAAGAAAATTAAATAAATACTAAAAAATACTAGTTAATTTTGAGGATTCTACGAGCTCTCTTTAATCCTCCTCATCTTTAGTCGTGTTTCCGTCATCCGTGGTCAAGTGGTCAGTAAACAAGGAGATGGGCTGACCGGAGTTCGAGTTGGTGTTGCTGCCGGCCACCATTTTGGATTCACACTCACTCGGCAAGATGGCTGGTAAGAACTTTCTTATGCCTAAAAAGCTCTAATTGTGTCAAAGAATAATATTCGAAGAACACACAATCCATCTTGACAACAGGTCAATAATGGTTACATACTTTGAAATCTATTTTCTTTCGTCGTAAGGCACTGAAGAGGAGAACAATCTTCTTCCTGTCAAAATTTTACTGAAGTAAAATTAGTGAAATATTTAGATTGACCAGTGCAGTGTTTGAAACCTAGTAACGTATTCTTGAAGTAAAATTAGGTGAAATGTTTAGACTGACCAGAAGAATACGTTACTTAGGTTTCAAACACTGCAGAAGTAAAATTAGTGAAATGTTTAGATTGACCAGAAGAATACGTTGTTAGGTTTCAAACACCGCAGAAGTAAAATTGGTGAAATGTTTAGACTGACCAGAAGAATACGTTGTTAGGTATCAAACACTGCAGAAGTAAAATTGGTGAAATGTTTAGACTGACCAGAAGAATACGTTGTTAGGTTTCAAACACCGCAGAAGTAAAATTGGTGAAATGTTTAGACTGACCAGAAGATTACGTTATTAGGTTTCAAACACTGCAGAAGTAAAATTAGTGAAATATTTAGATTGACCAGAATAATACGTTACTAGGTTTCAAACACTGCAGAAGTAAAATTAGTGAAATGTTTAGACTGACCAGAAGAATACGTTACTAGGTTTCAAACACTGCAGAAGTAAAATTAGTGAAATGTTTAGACTGACCAGAAGGATACGTTACTAGGTTTCAAACACTGCAGAAGTAAAATTAGTGAAATGCTTAGATTGACCAGAATGATACGTTACTAGGTTTCAAACACTGCAGAAGTAAAATTAGTGAAATGCTTA